AATTTTTTTTTATACAAAAAGAAACATTATCAAACAAAACGTAATACTGATGATCAAGATTGTAATCAATAATGTCTCATGATAAATCGAAAAATAAAGATTCTTCAACACCAATTTATAGTACAACTGAAAGAAATGTAAAATCGTGTCCAGCATCGCCTACTCGTCCTCTCGATATCGATGATTTATTTTCATCACCTGATAATAATAAACCAAATTTAGAAATATTAAAACAACATTTATTATTAGAAGGACGTTTAACAGAGAATGCTGCTTTACATATTATCGAAGCAGGTAATCTTACAAATTTAATCATACTCTAGTTATATATTGTATATATTTGATTATTTCTAGGTGCAAACATACTACGTGAAGAGCCGACTATGATTAATATCGATGCACCAATTACCATTTGTGGAGATATACACGGTCAATTTTATGATTTAGCAAAGTGCGTATTTGATATCATCTTGATCAACATTATATGTTTCTTTGATACTTTCTCGAGCAAGAAACTTAACTTTTAGTCTTTAGAACTGATCAAGTCAGAGATGGATCAGTCATCACTTTTTCGGGTCTAATGAGAGAAAGGTCCCAAGTTGCACGTCATTTTTTCGATGAGACTGGATAAACTATATGTGATTGATGACACTAATTTCAGTTATGAACATCGGAGTTATACTTAGATTTATATTGACCGTTTTTCTGAAAGCCGGATCTTCAGAAAACCAGGAATCAAATCCAGAATTTTTTTCTGAATCGGCCATTTTGTAGAGGTCACGAAATTGTCGATTCAAAACAAAAAACAACAGCTTAGGAAAATTTCCCAAAAGAGTTATTACGCTTGTTTTTATGGAAAAATGTTGCAGTAGGATACTTTGCAAAAATCATAGCATCATTGAATTTTTTTCAAAAAACTAAACCTTATGGAACATAGACAGTTTTGTGTTCGCTACAAAAGGGCTGATTTAGAAAAAAATTCTGGATTTGGTTTCTGGTTTTCTGAAGATTCAGCTTTCAGAAAAATAGTCAACAAAAGTCTAAGGACAACTCCGATATTCATATTTTGAATCAGCGTCATCAATTACATGTAGTCCACCCAGTTTCATCGAAAAAACGATGCAGTCCTTCCCTCGTAAATCGAATCCGAGTCAGAACAGTTTGAAAAGTTGAAAATAAGACAATGACTGACATCGTTTTTTCAGTCTTTTTGATATTTTTGACATCAAGAGTTCATTCTAGAACAAAAATAAGGTAATATTTGAAATCGACGTCAAAAACTGCACCAGACAATGTGCCTTTGAAATTATTTAAAGAGAAAAAGTTTTCGAGTAAAAATTGGTCGGACTTGGAAAATGAAAATCGAAAAAAGTGTCGAAAATATTATCTCTCCAAATAACTTCAAAGGCACATTGTCTGATGCAGTTTGTAGACAACTGAATTTCCTATCTGATGTCATCTTCATATTTCTAGGGAAATACTGTTTGGATGCCCAAAAGTGGGTTTTAGTAGAAAAAATTTGTATGTGAAAATCATAATCCTTCACCTGATGAACCTTTTACAACGTCGGTATTGAGTTTAGAAAAAGAGAAGACATCTGATTTTGTTTAACTTTTGATGGTCTTTCAAATGAGACATTGGTCGACCAGAACAGATAAAAAATGACGGAGTTATATCGGAAATATGAGACAATGCTCAGTTTTGCGATTCTTCGATGCACCTCATTTTTGAAAACTCTGTAACTCGGTCAAAATAAAGTCTGGAAGTGAACAATATTTTTCCTCGCCCCAGTTTTGATTGTAGAATCTGAAAATCAAATCAAAATCATATGTCAAATTTTTGCATGTTACGCACTTTCTGGATGAGCTGGCGAAACCTGTCTTCATATATTCTGAATTCTATGTATTCATATTTCTGCAGCTAATGCGTTTTGATACTGAAATTTATTTCAACTAGAGCTTTCGAATTAACAGATTCATCTTCAGTGAAAAAACTTCTACATATATGAAGAAATATTTGTCTACAGTTAGGTATATACATATATGAAACCTACTGGAAAGCTGCAAAAATATGGATACATGTATTCTACAAGTCCTGACACTATCATTTAAAGGACGGGGGCGATTATCTGATGAAATCGGCCCATGCTTGAATTTCATCAACTAATCAAAGGCTAGATGTAGAATGAAGAGGAGAATATTTCTAGGAAGTTACTAGACCTTAGAACTACTCTCAGAAAAAAATTGGTCGAATCAAATTTGATTAAGTTTCTACTGCATCTGATATATATTATAGATCGTAGTTTTGGATCTTTCTCCCTCAGTTTTACAATTTCTCACGACTATTATATATCATTCGAAAGCTTTTTTTCTTCGCTATATTTCTGTATATCACATATATGGAAATAGCCGTACTGAGGCAGAGTATGTTTAGAAATACTTCTGGCTATAGAAAATGACTCCTACGTGCAAAAAGTGTCAGATATTCTATGTCAACATTTCTCATCCGACCACTACAATAAATATACCATTCGATAGAGAATTTGTCGAGCTGCAATTTGATATATATAATACAGAGAAAAAAGTGTCCCAGGGCACCTTGACATTAGACCTGTTTTTGCAAAGTCAGAATTCTGCTCGTAATTATCAATTTTCTCCATCAGAACTCAACCTTTATGCAATAAAAATATCATATTCAGAATCAAAAACAGAGTCGACCAATGAGTATTGCGAAATTTTTACTTGGTTTTCACTTTCGGTGAAAATCTCTGTAATTTTTCAACGTGAAAATTAGACAAAAACTAAAGTAGCCGCATAGGATGGAAATACACATGGGTCAACTCTGTTTTTGATCCTGAATATGATATTTTTATTGCATAAAAGTTGAGTTCTGATGGAGAAAATTGATAATTACGAGCAGAATTCTGACTTTGCAAAAACAGGTCTAATGTCAAGGTGCCCTGGG